TCATATTTAATGATATTCTTGGTCGAGCTTTTATCCTGATCTCTCTAAATGGGCTTCTTCTCTTGGGCCATTTCCTTTCTTGGGCCATTTGAATTGGGCTGCACATTTTGTGTATCAACAACATGTATGCCAGTATGTGAACTTTTTAACAGAGACATATATGACCAGAAAAAGAGTAACTTTTAGAAAACCTCAAAGAAATGGTTGATTTGTTGAATTAATCATAACTTTGAGTGTTTGTGCGTGTGAGTAAAAGATAGTTAATAAAGTTGGCCTCGAATACGATAAGTGACACAACTTCTTTAAGCCAAGGAGAATCTTATATTTACAAGTGTGTTTTTTTTTTTTTTTTGGTGCAGTTACATTCATAAATTGTATTGTTACTAATTGAAAAAGGTTGTAATTAGTTGAGGTTTACATGTTTGATACTGGTTTTTCATGTTTTGGACCGGAAGTCCTACTGTTATGGAAGGCTTGTAACTACTAACTTGTGACAATCTGTTATGTCGTCTACAGGATCTGAAATTGAACTGGCAAATTGTTGTTGGTAGCATAATTGGATTTTTCAGAGCATCTATTGGAAGTGTTGTGGCGTTGGTGGTGGTGGGATATTTGTTCCCATTCTTACTCTGATTATTGGATTTGATCCGAAATCAGCTGCTGCTGTCTCAAAATATGAGTTAAAAAGCATATTGATATAACATGGAATGATGACTTATACAGCACAATTGGATATTCTAAGTTCTATGTCGATTGTATTAATTCAAATCCAGTAATCTATGCATTAGATTTGGACAGCCTCAACCCGAAGTTCTTAGTCTCCTTGTAATCAAGAAGAACAAAAGATGCATGTAAAATATTTTAACGGCCCTGAAGTTCTTGATTTATAATTATAAGTACTTTCAGCCATAGAAGATCACCAACTTATGTCTCCTTTAAATTTAATGGCTAAAGATGAACTGAATTATTCCTAGGATAAGTTCACATATGGTTGAATGGAGTGATAAACATCATTTCTAATTTGACAGGCATGTTCATGGGAGCTAGAGTCTCGACTGTTTACTATAATCTTAAGCTCGGGCATCCGACTATTGACATGCCAATTATCGTCTATGACTTGGTTTTTCACGTCCAACCTATGCTTATGCTAGACATTAGCATCGGAATTTCTTTCAATGCAATATTTGCCGATTGAACAACCTACCAAGAAACCAAAGAACAAAATCCCTATGGATTTACAAAGATCAATTCTGAAAAAAAAAAAATAAATAATAAATAAAATAAAATAAACTAAATCCAAATTATCTATCCCAACCTCCAAATTCCAGTATCAGTAAGTACTCAAAAACAAAAATGTCCCGCAAAAATAAATAGGAAATCAGAATTGAAGATCGAACTCCAATCAAATACATTAAAGCACAAAACAAATTGAATTTGAAAACTTAAAAAGTAACAGAATCAATGATTTAACACACCGGCCAGACGTGCTGGTATGCATTATGTGACAAAAATTTCTGCTTTGAGCTTCTTCTTTCAGCAGAAACAAATATTGAAGCCAACAGAAAGCTCCATACAACTGATAGTAAAGGTCTAAAAGCCCTCAATTTTTCTTGATTCCCAGCCATCATTAACCAAAATTCTCACTTTTTCAGTACAAAACCTTCTCTAGTTTACTTGCATTCCCAGATTTTGCTGGGTGGAAAAGGAAAATGCAGGTGGCTGGAGGGAATTTTGAGGGAATTTTTTTGCTCAAAGTGGGTGCATGAGAGAACTTAATTGTTGGTGTCCTACTTTATATGACATTGTATGTAGTTGGGAATAAGAATGGTTAGTCATAGATTAGTCATGCTTATTTTGTGCAGGTTTGCTCGCTTATTTTTTGCAGGATTGTTTCACATGTTTGTATTTGTATTTGCAGTATCAGCAGCCGTCAATTTGTACCTGCCTTGAAAATAGAGCGACTTAATTTTATTTTGTTATCTTTAATCTTTTAGAAAATAAAATATTTTACTTCTTAGAACCCGTTTGGTAGAGATTAAAATCGGATTAAAATTGAAAAACTAGCCGCTATTGTTGACTTTTATTAGACAAGTGGGGCCCAATAACGGTTATATTTTCAATTTTAATTGGATTTTAATCTGTACCAAACAGGCTCTTAGCTTTCTTTATCACATTAATAATTAAAGTCCATAATATGTTTTGATCGCCCAGTCCATTTATTTTATATTGTTTGGACTAATTATTTAAGTATTGTAGAAGACATAATAATGAGTGTGTTATAATTGTGGATCTAATAAATATACCTAGTGAACTTGCTGTAGTTATGTGTACATGGTTATTTGGGAAACTTGTAGCTGATTCCATGATATGTTAAAAATCTTGTTATACTTATTTATTTAGCATTCAAAACTACCATTCTCTGCTCGGCACATCCCCGTCTCTCTTGGCGTATCTGGTTATGAATCAATTTGCCTGTACAAGGGGTGGGAAAAAAATTGCATCCAAGGGAGATGATGGCTCCAACTTGAAAGTGCACCAATTGATAACATATTGCTTGTTGGGTGCACTAGCTGGTACGGTAAGGGGTTTACTAGGTGACTATTTTTGGAGTTAGGCATTCCACCTCAGGTGAGGTTGAGATCCTTCTAAAATAATGTTGCATATTCCTTTTACTAGGAAAAGTTGAGCTGACCACAAATTTATTTAGAATAAGGCTTTGGGTGTGTTGATTGCAAGCGTGGAATTTACGTGTAGGGTGCGTTTGATTGCAAAGGTGGAAAATGGGTGGAAAGAAAATGATTTGCAGGGAAAATAATTGCCTATAAAATATTTTATTGAGAATTGTTAATTAAGTGTGTTTAATTGGTATAATTTTCCACCCGAAAAATTTTTAAATTTTTTATTTGTTTGGCTTTGTTTTACATGGAAATTGTCCATTAAAGTGATATTTTTTTCTACAATTAGTTATAAAATTTGTTTCCATTGCCAAAAAGTAAAAAAAAAAAGGGAAAAAAAATTGTTT